AGAGTCGCGGAACAAATTAAGTTTGTAACCTGAGGTACCACTGTACTGTGATTTATTCAGCAAAGCATAAAACAAACTATGGCTTAGCAGAGTCTGTGAAACCAGGCTCGGAATTCAACGCCATTTACTTCCAGTCTTGTCTTTCCTATATGCATTTACTCAGAATGAAATATCATTACATTCAAAGGGATTATTCACAGGTGAGTATTTGTGGCCCAATATATATAGAGATGGGGAGGTCTGGGGGGAGGGAATCTGAAAAAGAAAAGAAAAGAAGGCTTCATCCTGCTCTTTTTTTTTTTCCTGGGAAGTGTGAAGGCCTGGAAAAGAGAAGGAAATAAAAACATGCATAAAAGGATACTGAAATTCAGTCATTCTACAGTGTTTCTGGTTCTGCTGAAATCCGGGCTTTCACAATTCCATCAGCCATCCTCTCCTTTTGCTTGCTCTAGAGGAAAAACAGATCACTAATCTCAGTAGCCCCAAAGGATGGTTTCAAAAGGATCAGTCTGTGTGAAAAATGCTGATGGGTATAACAGGACTGATTTTAAAGCAGGGGCCTTCTGTCGGAATAAGTTTAAATACAAATAGTTCAGTTCAAGGAATGCATTTTAACAAGTTATTTTCTGAGCTAGTTTTCATTGCAGGCACAGGAAGCCACCTTCTGGCCTCTTCTAGTTATCACACACTGAAGTTTTGTTTCGATTTTTAATCATGATCCATTACAATAGATAACTACAGACTTACATCATTTCATACATGATATTATGTCAAAATACGATTTATTTGATTTTGACTCAAGCTGGTCATGTGAACTTCACTAATGCGATTTGAAAACCATAGTTTCTGGCTTAAGCTGATAAGCAAATTCAGCCAACCAACAATGTTAAGCAATCTGTGGCGTAGCATGATCGATGAGTCAGTCTTTGTTTGGAATACTTCTTTTAAAATATGAGATCTGATTGTTGCTATTTTGAACATGACTATGGATTACTGATTGTTTGAGGGGTGGGAGAGAAAACTATCCCATTAGATTTTACTTAGGCTGGAAACATCTTGTGCTAAACCATACTGTTTCTATTTCATTTTGATTTAGGGTGTTGTGCAAATTCAGTCATTGCAATATGTGAACACATCCCCATTATAATCAGCACTAATGAGCAGAGGAAATTTAACACAGAATCCTGGTAAATCAGGCCAAAAATCTACTTAATCCAGTCTTCTGTTTCCCCAGTGCTTTTAAAAAATCTCCCGGACACTATTCTGTTGCTACTTCCCTGTAAGTGCTCTTGCTCTGAAATTAGGGCGGAGAAAGGGTGGGCTGCATGTCACCCTTATTAGGTATCTTTTATGGGTTATCCAGTTGTCTTCTGAAGCCACTTAAGCAAATGGCCATCAGCACAGTGAAATCCATCAATCAATTTTATTTAATTATTTATGAAATACAGTAATGTTGTAGTCATATTATTTTTCATTATTAGGATTCTGGGCAGTGATGTATCCTTTATGTGAAGGGTAGGGGTTTTTTTTCCTTCTTCTTGTCCTAAACTTCCTTCATGATCAAGACTGCTGGAAGTTGAAGACTGGCAACATCAAGAGTCCATCCATTTTACTGAGCTGTTGAAACTGATTGTGCAATAATTCACCAATAATGTAGTATTACATCTTCTTTTTTAGTGCTGTCTCCCACCAGAGGTTGGCAGCCATCAATGCTATTTCAGCCACAGAGAGTCCCCCCCACCTCCAGGGCCACATGGCAGAGACGTTTCCAGCCTAAGTAAAATCGAATGGGATTGTTTCCTCTCCCACCCCTCAAACAATCAGTGCTTAGTACTTGCTTATTAGAACATACTAATAAAGAGCTTGTGGCTAAGTTTCAAGAGGATGTGGGTGGTGCAGCAGGTGTCTGGCAGTAGATGGAAAGTGATTGTACTTTGAAAAGGAGAAGAGGACTGGTTTTGAAATATCCAGAAACCACTGGGTCACCTTGTTATGAGACCACCTGCGACCCTAGTATAATCTAAAGCTAATTAACATAGTAAAACGCACACCTCTAAGGTAAAATTTTAGAAAACATAGAACACGTTAAGCTTATTATGGGATGTTAGTATGTAACATGGAATCAAGTGCATCTGCGCAGCAAAGTAACCAATCATGTTTTTCCATACCTACTTCCCTATTTTTGAAAAGTATAAAGATTGATGGAAAACTTTACTCAGGGTTCCTCTCCTTGGAGAGATGGGACCCTTTTCGCTGAAGCGCTTCAATAAAAAGAATAAAAGGATTCCCCAACTCGGTGTGTTGATTGGGCCTTGCGTGCCGGGCAGATGAACCTGCCACTTCTGGGGCTAACACCCCCTGCCCCGGCAGGAAAATATAATGCAGTGATTTTCCCTTGCTTTCCAGACCGCTGTTGCACTGTGGTACGAATGTATTCCATTCCCACTCTGATATATACCGCTATAATTGTTCCAGGCTACCTCCACCATTTGTATCTCAAGAGTGGGAAGACTGCAATTCCTTAAAATGATTTGTGTGAATAAAGCTAAATAAGTAAATAATAACCAAACACAGTATAATAAATAAAACTGCTGTGATTGGCAGATAGTTTTGAGAGATGGCTAGACCCAGTGGGTTTAGCCGTCTCCCAAAACTCACTTGGGGCTTTGCTCCCAGGCTTGCCAGATAAAGTGGAGGTGGAGCCTGTTTTACAACATTTTATCAAGTTTGTTGTGTGCAGAGCACCACCTCCAGACTTGGCTTCTCCTGAGCAAGCCAAACCTTATATTGCAAGCTGGAGGAATTCTGACAGTGCTCCAGCTGTGCATGGGCAAATCATTACGACCATGGAAGTGAAATGGGAGCATTCTCAAAACTGACTCTGAATTTTGCTCCCTGCTTTGCCTGAGGTAGCTCACTTTGTGAAAGGAAGAACACTGTCAAAACTTGCTCTGGGCCTTGCATACATTTTATGACCCTCTTCTAAGCAGCTGGTAACTCTCCAGGAAGTTGTGACCCTCACTAAAACCCTAAATGCTTTAAATAATACATAGAATGGTTAAGATAGGAAAGAAATTGGCATTATGTGTGGAAAGACATTGAAGGAACAAGGTATAAAGAAATCTGCAGAAATACAGGCAAACTTCCAGTTTTCAAAAATTCCAGGAGATCAAAACAAAAAAACAAAACCTACCCTGTATTCTGAGTCTTAATTTTTCACTCTGTTTTCTCTGATTTTTAAGAATAATTAGTACATTCTGTAGCTATTTAATATAGCAAAGGACAGGAACCAGCATACATATTTTTGTTTCATTACGAAGCTGATGCTTCTCTTTTTAGCATGAATCTGTTTTTTCTGGACAGAGTTTAGCATCTTTTGCCCCGTTTGTAACAACAATTAAAAACATTTTAAAGTAAACTAAATCAATTATAGGATTGAAAACTCTTCTGGCCATTTCTACACTTTCTAGAGTATATTTATTCAACCGCGAGCAGTATTCCCTTCTCTAAGAAGCTCCTAGATAGCTCAGGTCTTTCTCTCTCTCCCTCCCTCCAAAGGAGAGCCTCGCTTTCAAGGAGGAAACGCTATAATTACAACCCCCTTGGCTGATTGAGTCCGAGTTTCGCTCCTCGCCCTCGCTTCATTCATCCACGCCTCCCTTCACTTCCTGGGCTCCTTCCTGCTCGGCGACCAATGGGTCCAGGCCGAGTCGATGGGAGGGTCGCTGATTGGCCTTCGCGCAATTCCAAAGGGGCGGCCTTAGCGAGAGGTTTTAAGCTCCACGCTGGGTACTCTTACGCCCGTTTTGCTCTTTCTACTGGGACCGGTTCCGTGAGGGTTGGTCCTTCTGCGTGGGACGGTGCACGGTAAGCAGCAGACCCGCCGCGCGCGGATGCCAAAGCGAAGGAAAACAAAGGGGGTCGCTGGCTGTAGATGCCAGCGTCCCATTCCCACCTTGCTTGGCCCCTTCCCTGCCAAGTTGGCAAAGTTTGCCGGGATCCCATATGGAGAGGCGGCCAGGAGGAGCCGCAGAGCCCCCACCGCCCGCCGGCTTCCTTCCCCCTCCCGGGCCTTCTGCATCCGCCGTTTTTCAGCCTTTTCGGCGGCACGGGCAGGGTCGGTCATGGCCGCAGCGCTCACCTTCTCCAGAGCCTGTAGGGTTCTCCTTGGCAGCGGCTTCCGCCCCTGGCGCTGGAAGCCAGCCCCGATCCGCAGGGTGAGTAGCAGCAAGCTGGTGTTCGCATCGAGGAGCTTGTTCCTTTAGCTGCAGCTGCTGCTTCCCTCGCCTCGGTCGTTTCAGCCTTTCCTGGGAGTTACAAGTCAGAGGAGACGGACGAAACCAGGCCCTTGTTTTCCTTGCGGCTTGTGTTGCCATGAGAAAAAAGGTGCAGTCCTTCATTGCAGAGGATCAGCTCTCTTTGCAACCCCCTCCTTTATTTGCTGCTATCAGCTGCAGCCTCCCCCACCCCCACCCCCCGCTTGGACTTGAGATCCCTGATTCCTTGTCATCCTGGCTTAGCAATCAGGTAATGTAGCCCACCACTGCATCTCGTGAGGCTGTGCTATCTTATCTCCCTGAGAGGCAAGGCGGCTACCAGTTCTTTCTTTCTGTGAGGGTCGAACAGCGTATTCATTATACTGGCAGCAGTCAAATACAAGATCTGCTTTTAAGGAGAATGCATTGACAGTCTGGCCAGGGTCCTTAAAAGCAGAACCTGTATTTTGAGATGATCCACACGAAACACTGCAGCTTGGATAAATTCAGGAATCAGCCACCCCAGGAGCATTTATCCCTTGTCATTATCTGGCGGCTGCCGTCTGCTCACTCTCCTGACATTTTCTCTGAACCCTTTGGAAATAGGAATATTCTGCTTCCTCTGCTGACTTTTATTTTCTTCTCCTATAGCCTTCCCCCCTCCCCAGCTTAATGCCAAATGCTGGCACAAATGCACATAACTTTATTATAGAACTTAATAGGCAAATTCAGTCTTTGCATCTGTGTAATAGATTTGTGCTGAGGGCAGAATAGTTTTTGAAGCAAAGTACTTAGATATTTCTGCAAGAGTTTTACAAGTTAATGATAAATGTTCATTTACATGTTTTATTATACATTGTACCAGTGCCAGGTGGCTGTGAGTGCATTTTTATACATTTAATAAGTAATAATACTTATATTAATAACATTAATAACATCCCAGAGTCTTTGGGAATCAGGAAGAATATAAAATATAATAGTATGTCTGAACTCATTTCTTGTACAGAATTGCTTTCCATTAGGAGAAATCCAAATCCATTGGCATGATATATATAGCTCTTTTTCACAAATTTCCTGCAAATGCATATTTATTTAATATTACTTATTTTCCTCCAAGTAGTTCCTCTGTCTCAGTTTCTCATTATAACAGCCCTGTGAGGTAGATTAGGCTGTGAGATAGAAAGGCCCAGTTTCTATAGGATGTTGTTGCTTCTGCTAAGGCTGAAATTTCATGTGGACTAAATAAAGAGAAAGTCCTGCTGAATTCAGCAATGCTTCTAAACAGACTTAAAAGAATGTGTTTCAAATATCTGATACTATGATTGTCTTTTCTTGCAACCCATCTGTGTAAAGCACTGAAAACTGATGTAGTTATCAGCCAAGCAGGGTTGGAATGCTAATTACAGACAATTAGTTTGAATATGCTCTAATTAAAGACTAAATAGTGGAATAAACCTGAAGTGTGAAATATAAATTCATCATTGCCTAATGTTAAAAACATGCTGAAATTGTAAGTTTTTCTATAAAAAGTGTTTGTGACTTATACCTGTTGTTGTATTTTTATCTGCCTTTTTATGTATAACTCAAGGCAGTGAACATACCTAATATGCTGCCTCCAATGTTCTCCACAACAACAACCCTGTGAGGTGGGTCGGGCTGAGAGTGACTGGCCCAAAGTCACCCAGCCGGCTTTCATGCCTAAGGGAGTCCTAGAACCCACAGTCTCCCAGTTTCTGGGCGAGCATCTTCACCACTACACCAAGCTGGCTCTCATACTAGATTGTAACTCTCTGTATAGCTTCCTGCTTGGAATAAACGGAATAACAACATCTGGAAGGTTATTGTCTATTTAATTTGTTGAAGTCTGAATTATGCTTCATAGCCAGCCCATTATTAAAATGGTGAATGATTAAAAAACATAGGGACAGAATCATAAGGTATCAGGCACATAAATTCAGTGGGCCTAGGACTCATAAACTATAGAAAGCTGTGTTAAGGCAATCCATAGTTGAGGTGGTAGAAACAACAAGTTCCATTTCTTTGTTATTTTAAGTTTCAAAGTCACACCAGATTAAGCCATGTTGAAAGCCAGCACAATAGAATTATTCTTGCTCTTGCCTAAAAATTGTACAGAGTTGAAATTATTAAAATTGATGATCTAGCAGGCAGAAAGGTTTTTTTTAACAACACCATAAAGGACATTGGTGTATGGGGGTGGGAATCCTAAGGAATGAGGTCAGTAATAAGAGCTTTTGTTAAATTGATACTCCAGAAACAGATCAAGCAGAGATCACAGAAGAGCAATTGAAAGTATAAACTGTGCCAAAACCTGTTTGCCAAGTATGAGTCGCTATAGTAGATTCCAGGACCATGATAACCTGAATTTAAAATCTTCAGGAGCACAGATTAAATGCTGCTTGGTTATTTTTTAAAAAAATTAAATTTCACACACCCCTTTAATGCTGTAAGCCAAATCCAGAATAAGACCTTTCTCTTGCTAAGCATTTGTCTACAATGTGGTACATCAGTACCTTTAACTCTTCTGCTGCAATTTAACTGGTGTTGAAATTTGCCCCTGAGCCCAACTTTTATTTGCCAGCCTTTTCTTTCTTAAAGCTGCCCGTTTTAGCTGGAGAACCTCCAACAAAGCAATCCTGTGACCTCTGCTTCCAAAACAGGTGAATGTGTTTGTTCATATTCTGGCCTCATTCCTGCTAAGCCTGGTGTGTTGTGCTGTTATGTGGTGGGAGATTGTTACATGGGTCTCAACTAGTTTTTTTTTAAATTGATTTTGTTTTGTTTTTCTGTTCTGTTCACTGTCCAGATTTCCATGGCTAGATAAGCAGCCATATACATTTGTTTAATAAATAGAATAATAAATTCATAAATAAGGTATTAATTCCATTCCATTCCAAGGATCTGTGGAACTATTGGCTTTATAAGTTAGTTCCCATAATGACTATCCTATAACTATATCTCTGTGTGTGATTTCTCCAACAGCCCAGATAACATCTACTTTGTGGCAGGAAATCACTTCCCATGCCTTATGACATTCCTTCCTCTATCCAGCTGGGAACATTTTTTTTATTGTTTTTAGTTTTCACTGTCCTCACATCTCCAGACTAATTTCATTGATTCACAATAATCATAGATGATACCAAGATCTTCTCAGTGACATTTTGCATTATTATGAATATATCATGATTTTGAGGTTTGCTATAGTATGTAAATGTATAATTGGTGCTCAGTGATCTATTCATATTTATTTTTAATTAAGAATACATTTGTGCTACTTCCCATGTATATCAGGCAGTGTACAAAAATATAAAAACTACTGTGAAGTAAAAACATTCTTGACAAGACCAGTCTTAGCAGGACATTATCAGTCGGGGAAGATGTGTTTTTCAGAGAATGCTTAACACCCACCATTATGGGAGCCTGGTTTATCACAGAGGAAAAGTATTCCTTATAACAAGGAATACTTGTAAGGAATACTCCCATAATTTCAGAGAAGGCCCATCTCCACATTTTCGCAAAGCGGGGGTCCTTAAATCACAGCGCAGACAGCAGGACCTGAAGGCTTTAGATAGCATAGGCAGAAGTAAATCAAGATGTTCTTTAAGATAACCAGAAGCAGCTATGTATAGGGCTTCACATACCCTTACCAACTTTGGATCTAGTTCAGTAGCATCAGCTGCATCCCAAATATGGTATGGGGGGAATCCCAGTCAGAAATTTAGCTACTGCATTTCATAGTAGTTGGAGATTTGAGACTACCATCAAATCTCCATGTAGAGCAGAGATTTTCAAACCTTTTCAGGCTGCAGAACCTGTTTAAAAAATTCCAGAATCCCTGATCAAAAGGCAAAATCCTAGTGATAGAAAATTGGCTGCATTTTTGCCCTTCATCTCTCATGGACCCCCATCAAGTTCCTGTGGAACCCTAGGGTTTTCAAAATTTGAAAAACTCTGAAGTGGAGCATGTTACAGCAATTGGATCTTAAAGTTCCTCTTGCATGAACCACCATGGCCAAGCTGACTTTACCTGGGAGTGGGCACAGCTGATGTACCAGGGTCACTTGAGTCTCTAGCCACAATAATGGATCCAGGAGCATCCCAAACTGTGAGCCTGTTCCATTGGGGGACAGGGGTCCTGTCCTGAGAAGACAATGCCCCTAATCAGTGGCCTTCATCCAGTTCATCCCAGAGTTCAAGCCCTGATCAGGTTGTGTATGAACTCTCTGGGTGACAAAGAGAAATAGAGCTGGGTTTTGGGTAGGGTCTGTGAAGAAAACAAGCAGGATGGCCATCATTAAAATTCTGTTTCCTACCCCCTCTTGTTACCTTTGAAACTGCAGATTTATAGTCTTTAAAATCAACAGCTAATGACTTCCTTTGTATTGCTTTTACCTGTCATGTGACTTGTGGCATGATTCACAGAAGGATTTCCTTGTTAGTGAGTCCTCATGATTTTGCTGAAATCTGCTGAGATGCAAGTTAGGCTAGGCAGAATATAGAACATTAAAAAGAAAGAATCTTCCCAAGTGAGACAGCAGCCTGTTGCAAGGCCAAGAGTTTAAAACTCTTTTCTCTCTCTCTCTCTTTTAAACCCACCCTCTAGACTTCTCAATCACATTATTTTGATCAGAAAATGTCATCTGCTCTGGAATCTCTTTTTGAACATGTGGACAAACATCAAGACCTTTATGTGGAGGTAAGTAGCCTCTTCAAGGACATAAGATCCAAATTCTTCGTTTTGAGATGGCAAGAATTTTAAGAGCTTGCACAACTGCATGGTTCTTTCCTTGAACAATGGGTATGGAACAGTCATGACAAAGCAGTTCTCAGCTAATCTTAGTTGATAAAATGGAAGAAGAGTTACTCAGCCTGTCCCAAGTCTTTTGTAAGCTTGGAATCAGCTTTTACTCTGGACTTTCCTTTGGAGGGTCACTCAGTTCTATTAGTGGTCGCTGTGGTATAATCCTTTGAATCTCAAGGCTGATGGACTAGTCCACTCTCAAAGTTAAGCGGGCCATGAACAAATTAAAGGGCCATAAGCATCCTGCAGAATTGCAAATCCTCTTCCTGTATTCACCTTTAAAATAGCTAAGTTTCATGGCAGCATCAACTGGAGACGTCATGGTATTAAGCAAAGAATTGAGAAAATGAAGCTTTTGTCAGTCCTGAAGCTGTTTTATGGGGAGTGAAATGGAAATCTCTAGCCAGAGTAGAACGTCATTTACAAAGAAAACAATAAACTGGAAAGAAGATAGCACAATTCATCTGATGGAAAAACTGAAGGGTTCTTTGGTGCACATTTTCTGTGTGGCGCCATGCTGTTTCAGATTGATAGTGGATGTGATGTGTCTTTACAGAGAGAGTTAAGTCAGAGAGTGGGGGCCTGAGGTAATGCATTCCATAACTGGGGAGCAGCACAGGCGAAGGGCCTCTCCTGCGGGCCAGGGAAATGACCCTTTAGCAGCCAGGACCTCTTTAGAACAACCACTCCTGCAGGTCTTAACGGTGAGGCAAGGTAGCTCTTGGTGCGAACCCAGCTTTAAAAGATAGTGAAATGTACGGAGAGTGGAGAAGTAGGAGGAATAGGATTTTGTAGTTATGAGCATACAGGAAATCTATCTGGAAGTTTCATTTCTGGAGTTGTAACTTCACTTCGATAGAAGAACAGACTCTCACTTTGCCTTAGTTGCAGAGTAAATTTTAAAGTGGTAAGTTTCTATTCTTTAGAATCACAACTAGGTATCCTTTTGGAACATAAAACAACTTTTATTGCATTGGGTAGGAACAGCCTTTCTCTTATTTGGCCCTGGGGATCCAAAACTGTTTGGGGCCTATGTTGTCATAGGCCGTTTTTGGGCCCAAGATTAGCTGAGTTTAGAAACTGCTACAGTTCCGCTGCAGTATGTTTAACAGTCAGTAGGAATTCTTGCCGATCATGGTTTGTGAACATTAGACTTCGGTACAATAAACACAAGAAAATAGCCGCTTCAGTATTCACACCAGAATATTTGCAATTTTTCTTTATGGATATATCTCCACTAAAATAATAGCCAAAGAAGATGACCTCATTTGGTATTTTTTTTTCCCCTTTCACTCTTCTTCCCCATCATCCTTGCTGTTTTCTAAACTGCTTGTGAATAGCGACTAGCTCAGTGGGTTGCGATACAGAGCGTGTCAGCGTGGCCGGAGAAGAGAGGAGAAATCAAGCGGATGATGGAAGTTGCTGCAAAGGACATTGAACGGCTTGGGGGCACAACTGAACTGATAGATATCGGAACACAGACGGTAAGAAGAGGGTCCTTATCAAGGGTGTATTGGGGGAGCAGAAAACCTACTAATGATAAGTAAAAAAAAAAAAGGAAAAGATACCATCCAATTGAGCTCAACTTGTGACACAACCATGTAGCTCGATATGAAAATGGTTTGCTGTTGAGTTCTTCCAGCATGCTTTTTTTTTAACCTTCCAGTCTAATCTTAGGATTTCCTGGTGGTCTCCCATCCAAGAACTAAGCAGGACCAAAGCTGCTTAGCATTTTTGTTTGTTTGTTTTGGAACTCTACCAAAATAGGCTAAGTCATGCTACTTTCAGACAGTCATGTATCCAGGTGGCGACTAGCTTTCTTTCTGGTGTTTGTGATTCTAGATCAGAGGTGCTCAGTGGGGATAGAAAGAGGGCATTGCATTTGGTGGTGGAAGGAAAGTTTGTGTTTGTATTTGTGAGAGTGAGTGTGGTGAGAAGTTTGCATGCTGCAGTGTGCAGTGTAAAAGGGGAAAGTCTCTTTATGTGCATGCTAAAAAGAGGGGAAAGCCCCCTCTAGCTTGAGACCCAGAATCCTCTGCTGCATGCTGCTTGTGGGGGCAAAAATATTGCCCTCCCTGGTCTTGTGAATGACAGGCTACGATCTGCCCTGTCAATCTCTGTGCTGCCATCCTGTCCCTCAATGGAAACTGAGCCAATTAAGCAGTTTAGTCTGATTCTTGGCAGGCAGACAGGCAGGTGTGCACCTGCTAGAGAGTTTCTCCTTGAAATATCTATTCTTCAAAGTCCCAAGTTCAACCTGTTCTGCTGGGTGGATTCTACTTTTCCCCTCAGAGGACAAGTTCAATCCTTGTTTCATGACAGCAAACAGAATCCGCCAGTGTTTGAGTAGCCATTTTTGCAGCGGAGCGCTATTGCGCTATGACTAAGGGTGTTCCTTCCAAGGCTTTTATGGTGCAATTGCCTGGCCCTTGCTCCTGACCAGAGTGTCTAGATTAGACTTCCCCAAGCTGGGTGTCCTCCAGATGTGTGGATTTCATCTCAACAATGGCCTTCCTGGCTGGGAATTCTGGGAGTAGAAGTCCACACATCTGGAGGACACCAGGTTGTGGGAGGTTTGATGGACCTATAAGCTTTTTTGACCACCTGAGCAAATGGTGAGAGAGAGAGAGAAATGAAGGAACAGATTGTCGCGCTGTCCCTGTGTTTCTCTCACTTGGCCTACTGTTAGTAAAATGAACAATTGTGTTTAAGAGACAAAAGGGTACTTTCTCTTTCTAGTCTTTCAGTTTCTTCACGATGTAGTTTTGATAGAAATGAGACTTTTCTACATATTTGTTAGTAAATCTACCTTCAAATATAAGAAATATATGTTAGCATTAATTGATAACCAGGCTAAGCCAATACTCAGGATACTGTGAGCATTTTTCTTTGAAATGGGACCTGCTGCTACTAAATTACTTAGTATTCTTTTAGCACTCTGCCTATGCTCAGGAGCACATCCTCTGGCAAAGGCTCTGGCTAAATTCAATTCTCCAACACACTTCCTTTAAACAAAGGCTTCATCTCTATATAACCTTCCATGTTTCCCTTAAATCTTCCAACTTGGATAATTGCCTAGTGCTTTTTTCTTATGCTTAACAAGGGGAGGCTGTACTTAAAAAAGAAACAAAAAATTGGCAGTGTGGTCAGTGACCTCTTGACATCACTGGAGTGGGCAGGACCAGCCTTTTCTTTTGTTTTGTGGGAGTTTGAAGGAGTGAAATGTGGGCCTCAAACCTCATTCAGCTTTAAGAAACCCAGTTTGCTCCTTAACCCATCGTTCAGGTGAGAAAAGTAATACTGAGTTGTAGACATTTTAAGGAATGAATGCCAAGATTGAAGGTCCTCCTTTTGCCCCTGATCCCCCCCGATCTCCCACAAATCTGAAAAGAGGGCACCCCGGGGGCATGGAAGAAATTTTGGGGAGATGCATGTGGGCTATGAGTTATACACCCATCTTAAAAAATTTTACAATAAATACTACAGTATATAAAGAATGTTCTCAAATAGCTCTACACTGACACCTAGTGTTTCTGAATACAGTTGCCTGATGGTTCTAAAATTCCTCTACCTCCAATAATTCTGGGCAAACTTGGCTCCGATCCTAGCAAAAAAACTGTTTGTGTCTATGGCCATTTGGATGTGCAGCCTGCAGCATTAGAGGATGGCTGGGACAGTGAACCGTTTACCTTGATAGAAAGAGAAGGTAAGACCTGAATATACCTGATTTGTGCTTCTAATGTCTAACCTTGGGAATACATTTTGAAGCTGCTTTCCTGTTGTTGGTTCTTTGAACTGAGTTCTTTGTTTACACTTTCCACATAACCTGCAACCAAGCCGAAACTGGTTGTGCCAGAAGATACGGACATAAACCAGACATAAAGCTATCTTAACAGTGTTTGTTTAAACTATTTATTTCTTTATTTAAATTATTTCTATAGCCACCCATCTTAATGCAATGACTCTTGTCTGTCTGAAAGTTGGACACAACGTGCACAGTAGGTGCTTAACGTTTAGGCAATACAGGTGGCATACTTATGGTCATCCAGATGCTGTTAAAGTACAGTTTCCAGATGCCTTCACCATTATCTGTGCTGGCTGGATTGTTGGAGTGCAGTTTCTGACATCAGGAAGGCCATGGTTTCCAAGCCCTAATCTTAGAGGTTAAGTACCTGTTTAAGTACCTGTTACGTCAACCCAAACAAACCTGCATAAGTTTCCTTTGTGGCCTGGCTTATGTGGATTTATAGGAAATGTTGACTGTGGGCAACCAGAAGAATTTTAGAGCACTTCGATATGACTGGGGTAATTCTTCTATATGTATTCATCTAGGGACCAAAAAGGAAAACTCAGAATGCAAAAAATACAAAAATATTTATAGTCCAATAAACTGTATCTTTTCTTTGGAGTTACAGATTGTCTGTATGATGCTCTGGAATTTCCAACCTTTATAATCATACCTGGAACTTGGAAAGCATGTAATGGGCTCTGTGCTGCCATGGTGGTGAATAGGGGCTTTCTCATTCTTAAACAGCTGTGGTTATAGGTATGAATAGTTGTAAAACGAAACTGCCAAGGTGGGCAGGGGGCTAACAAGACACCAAGGAAAAGCTGGGTGGCCAAATTGGTGTCTGAAGCCACCATATTAGGTACTCTGCTGATCGTGTGCTATAATTGGGAAAGTCTGCCATATGTCATAATTTAGCAGCCAATCCAGCACTCTCCAGTGTGCTGAACTTAGCTTCTGTAATTCTCAGCCTTTTTAGACTTGCTGGTTGAGAATAATGGAAGTTGATTGAACACTTCTGGGGCACAAGAAGTGAAAACTACCAGTGATGTGGATTTTATTTTATTTTCCCTTTCTCTTGAGATGTAGGTGGAAAATTTCTTGCATCCGGTAGGATTAATAAAAGGATTGCTGTTGGTGATGGGAAAGTTAGGCATAATCAAGGTTTTGAAGTAAACATGTTCTTCCTTTGTGCTGTCCACTTTCTACTCCCAGCTGCCCTGTATTAGTTATTCCATCCATGTACTTTTGCCAGGAGAGTAGTTCTATTGCTGTAGTTGAAATGCTCTGCCAGCTGTCAGCCCTTTGAGGAAGGTCAGGTCAGGAAACATACGAGGACTACTGACACGCTACTCTATTGTTGCAGCGTATAATACCAGAATCTTGAAAACCTGACAGATTCTCTCTCCCCACTCTTATACCAAAGAGAATATATTTTAAAAAATAAGAGAAACTGAAGAGGGTTGTAAAAGCCCAAACTCTCTAGCATAGTGGTGATTGAGCATATTGGATCGAAAAGAAAAATTGGGGATGGAATAGAATGTCTTGGAGAAGGTCATATTAAGCTAGGATGATAGCAGGGTACACTTCAGTTTTCTGTCCCGTGCTCTTAATTGTTCTTCCTGAGCTTAATGATTTCAGCAGTGGAAAAATGTTGAACGTGCCTTGGCTTTTTTCCCTCTTATCCAAGCTTATCATTGAACTGTGATTTCATTCAGCTCTATTTGTTCTAGTAATAGATAAGTTTATGATTTCAAATGCTGATGACTGAGCAAATAAGCGCCTATCTTTGCAAGCAGGCATTATGCTAAATAGAATGCTTGCCAACCAATATGCTTTTTTCTTGAGCAGTGAAATGTTACACATTACTTTGTCATTAAATTCAAACAGGACTTTTAAAACTTAAGAAAGTGGATTGTGGAACCCTTTGACTGCAAATCCTCTCTTTCAGATTCAATTTAGATGCATGGTTGCTAAGCTGAAGCTCAGGAATCTGCCTCTGGTGTAATGTATAGCCTCTCTTCAACTGCACAAAAGGCTTAGCTTAGGCTTAAGAATCCTTTTCATTAATGGATTTTTTGTTGGGAATGGTCATGGAGGGCATTAAGTTGGACTCTAAGGTGAACAAGGTTTGTGCACCAACAGATCTTTTGATCTCCAACGTGCTGAGCATCTACCCAGCAGAGGCATCTTGCTTTCAAAAGGAGATGCTGGAATGTGTAGTTTTTTAGCAATCCCCATACAATTTCCCCCCTTAAAAATTAGAACCAGAGAAAAATGAAAATCCTGGTTTGCTTGCATATGCGATGAAGCCTTTGCATTAGCACCTTGTGCTGCAGCCTTCCTTCCTCTAAATGTTAAGGGCAATTCTCAGTCTCTAAAATACCACCCGCTTAAAAGTGGGTCATTTGTGGCAAAGGGGTCCAGAATTCTGTTTACAACCAAGATCACACTGAGCTCCTTCCCACACAAGTGTAGCCATTTGATATGTATACATATGTGGATTTGGGTGTCCTGATGCAAGAGTATCCTGATTGGGATTTCAGAGGAGAAGATGGTCTGGGCTCTAAAGCTAAGAGAGAGCTGTGAGGTGTGCAGACAGTGCCAGAATGGTCTGAGCCTTGCAGGCTGTAGCTTCCCATGGCAGCAGAGAGAATTCCGGCTTTTCACAGCCTGCTTTAATTTGTTGCCTCTTCAGGGAAGTTGTATGGCCGAGGATCGACAGATGACAAAGGCCCAGTGCTAGCCTGGCTGAATGCTCTTGAGGCCTACCAACAAACCAAACAGGTAAAGCTGGGAGTCCTGGGAGTCCAGGAATGTCAGAAACTACTGTCTCATCCCAAACATGAGTCATGTAATATGCTGCTTATTTTGCCCTCCAGTTGCAATCCCCATGGGTGCAGATGCACAGCTCTTCTGGCCTCTGCAGAAGCATTTCCAGCCACCAGATTTTTCCTTTTCCCCCGCAGTTGTAAAGAAAGAAAGCTGGCAGGCATTGTATACAGGGGGGCTTTGAAAGAGTGCTGCTGGATGAAATTGTTCCTTCCTCCATCCCTGCTCGGATCACTTAAGGGCCACTCATTAATCTCGATTAGAGGAGTGCATGATTGCGTTCAGTGAAAACAGATTGGTACTGGAGGAAATTGCTTCTGACAGAAATATGCAAAGGCTGATTTAGTTCAAGATCACTGTATAGAAAAAAAGGAATAATAATCTTCCCTTCAGCTTTCCTGGATCTCACTTTGATTTGGTCTTCTCCCTTACACACACCTGCTGTTTACCACATAGGAAACACTTCATACAAGTGCCAGCAGCATGACTGGAAAGTTTAATTTGGCCCCGTAGCAGTGCTTTACAACATGGAGTCTTCCCAAGACTTCTGGGAACTGTTTGATTGGCTCTAACTGTGAAAATGTTTACACTCCCCACTTTTGTTACAATGTTGTGGTTTTATCTTCTAGGAAATCCCAGTCAATGTCAAGTTTTGCTTGGAAGGTATGGAGGAATCTGGCTCTGAAGGCCTTGATGAATTGATTTTTGCACAAAAAGATACTTTCTTCAAAGATGTAGACTATGTGTGTATCTCTGATAACTACTGGCTGGGCAAGAAGAAGCCCTGCATCACCTATGGCCTCAGGGGCATCTGCTATTACTTCATTGAGGTAAAGGACTAAGGAATAAAACAGCTTATAAAGGAGATGACAACTATAACTAGGTTTACAGCTTTGTCCTCTCTATGCTAAGCTGAAAGACATCCCATCAGTGTGGCTATAGGACTGCAGGCTTAGCCAACTGTCGATCACTATCAGCGTTCAAAGTTTCAACAGTTATTTTGAAGGAGGATGCAGAAGGCAATTGAATGAAAGCTTGCATAGCTTTGATGACATGGCTTCATAATGTTGTTTATCCTGTGCTATCACTGTATATATTGCTACCCATATGCCTTTCAAACTTAAACATTATGCAAACCTACTGGGAAGTTCTTATATCAGAGGCGGGCAGCATTTTTGGTGTGTGGGGGGCCATTTCCCTTCAAAATTAATCTGTCGGAGATGCCCACTGTGAAGGGCAAGGTCAGAGCCAAAAATGAACAGGCCTACCCCCCCCTTCTCTTTCTCCCTACCCATTGGGCTGTTTTGAAAAGAGCAAATTGCTCTTGTTAGAGGACTGAACTAATTGCCTGTGGAGGGCACTGAAATTAAGTTGCAGGTCATATGAAAGTAGACCAAGGCTGCCTTGGTTCTGTGGCTGTAGGTTGTCCACTCCTGTTTTAGGTGCAGTTAAATTTGATATCCAGGTACTTGTCACATTGAAGACCCCAGTCCAAAACCACACTTTGGGGCTTATTTTCATGGATATTCTTGTTATTTGTTAACTGTATAGCCAAAGAATTATTTTGTAAGTAAATAAGAGGACAAAATCTGGCATTAGTTCTGAATTAACTTTTAGTTGTGTACAGAAAAGAAAACCATGGGTTAGATATGTATTGCTCTCTTTTGTAGAAATGCTTTTAGATGCTTGATTCTTTAGCTCAACCCTAGCAGCTTTGCAAAAATGTATATTTGACTTTTAAAAACTAGTTCTGAGCATAAAGAAGATACTGAAAATTGGTTGATTTTTATGAAGCAGCAATTCCATAATTCAGGTTGCAAGTTTCCCTAAGACTTGCAGCAAAAATCCTTGCTACAGCTGCTTAGCTTAACCTTAAAAATGATGTACTATAAATACAATAGTGCCTGTCAGTAAGACTCTTAACGGGCTTTGCTTTTGCTTTTATGTTTTCCTATAAGGTGGAATGCAGTAACAAAGATCTTCATTCTGGCGTATATGGCGGTTCAGTCCATGAAGCAATGACAGATCTTATTGCTTTAATGGGTAAGAGCTATTTTAAGGGGGGCATTGTACATAAAGAGAACTAGAAACCTTAAAGATCAGCCATCTTCCAATCTGACTGCCTTCTGATATGTGGGAATACACCTCCCATAATTTGTAGCCTGCCTCAGATTAACTATTGCAAGAGTTAGTAATGTGTGGTCATACTTCAAAGGAAGAAAAAGAAAAAGAAATAGCCTTGACCCTCCCTAAAAGCTTTTGATAATGCAAAGTTAACAATTGATGGACTAACCAGAATCTTAATGAGAGGGTAAAGATCTCCTTGAAGGACAAAGGTAAATGCAAGATTGTTGGATCTAGAAGGCACAAATGTATTAGCAGGCTTGTGAATGTTGTTTCAGCCTATGAAGTGGTTGAAGGTAAATGTTGTAGCATTGTAGCCTGTGTAGCATTTAATTGCCATCAAATTTCATGCAACACATTTTTTTTTTAACTTTTAAAGATAAATTGGGCTTACCTGCTTTTCCCAACCAAGGTGCCTTCCAGATAGGTGGACCATATCCTAGAATTCCTCAGTCTGTGTGCGCATTGTCAAAGATTTTGGGAATTGAAGTCCCTGTATCTGGAGGATGCCCAGGTGGGGGGGAAGGGTTTGTATAGAATAATATTAATGCAGTTATTATGCATGTTGGCTTAACTGGGCCTGGCAAGTCATTTTTCCCTCTCTTTGCTAATGTAGTTATCTCTTCCGATCTCTTCTGCTCGTAGCAGTTGCATGTATCTGTCTGGGTCTGGAAAGTAACATGAAGTTATCATTGGCTCTTTCTTTCTTTACTGTCTGATGAGTAGCAACAGCAAGGGACTGATATTGGCCCTGGGGAGAACAGATCAGAATTGCAGCGGTTTGCATCAAACTGTCAGGTCCTGTTTCATAGCGTACAGCGTGATTCCCTTGGAATGACTCCGCAAGCATTTTGCTTCCCCATCAAAAGGCATGTCAGCTCATCATAAATGTATACTCTTTCTGGCAATATGCTAAAAGCATAAAAGTCCTGATGGGTGGAATTGATCGATGCCTTGTCAGATGTTTCTTGCCTTCAAATAATAAGGGAGAAGGGAGTCAGGTTTGGGATGGGGGGCACTGGCCTCTGTGTGTGTGTGTTAAAGCTTTTTAAAGCAGATGAACCAGGGAAATTTCTGCTATCTATCTTTGTCCAGAAGAGAACCTTTGGTCTTCACTCACAGTAATAAATCCAAGCCTCCTAGAAATTAATAACTAGAACTATCTGGCTGGGTTGACAGCAAGTTAAGCCTTGAAAGAATTGATTGGGCAGAGAGAAATTTGTGAGAAAGCAGTTGCAGCAAAGGGCTGGTGGCTTCTGCAAACTTATGGTGAATGGGTGGAGAGGGTTACTTTTTAGTTGACTGACACTGGGCACAATTGACTATTTTCTGAAATTGGGGAAGAAGAAAGAGAATTGCAGTTCTATTCGTTGATCCAGAGATCCAGCCCCTGGATGCAATTCTTGGTGCCTACCAGGTCTCCCGGCTTCCCTAACTTCTCTTGAAGTTTCTCTTAACAGGACAAAAAATCATAGGAAACTGGCCTGCTGCAAAACACTGCAGTAGTCTCCAGCATCCTATTTTCAGTAGTGCCTGTGGGTCCTGCAGAAGTCCCACTGGGAGGGCGAATACCATCTAGAGGAGCTAGTTTCCCTTCTGGTCCATGGGTGTTTTGTACCTGGCCCTATTATCGCAGCCATGCTGGGAGCGCACATATCACATTATCTCAGAATTACGCATCTGTCCCTTGAACCTTGAAAAGCAAAATATTCCATCTTGCCAATCCTAGAGACTGTAGACACATGCAGCCCACCTCAACCTAGGTGGAGTTAAGACCCTATGCCAGAATCCCCAGCCCTAATGACCAAATAACATAGTGGATTTGATTTCTGAGAGGTCAGAAGAAAAGGAAACAGATTAGAAAAGGTTGGCATCCCAAGGGAATGAGACTTTGGGGGGCGCTTGATGTTAAGGACTGGATTCCAAGAAATAGATCGCACTGGAGAAGAACTAAGCTTTCATGTCATTTCATTAATATTCTTAGTTACTATTATCATAGTCCAGTCTTGTATTTAATAATTTCCCCCTTCTGTTTTATTAAAATTGCCACTTTGTAATAACTTTCAGAGAGTCTTGGGAGGAGGAGGCATGAAGTTAAGGATGCAACCTGGGACCTTAAGCTGCACGCCCTCTGGCTCATAGAAGAAGGGTGCTCAAAGAACCATCTTTCTGGGTCCAGGCTGAGCCTGACCCAAGTCCTTTCTCTGTGTGAATTGGCTATGAGACGAATGGCTCAGCAGGCAGTGCAGTTAGCTGAAGAAAGCCCTGCCCTGTAGCTCTGCGTGTATTTTTGTGTGTTTGTTTCAAAAGTCTCCTGAAAAAATTAACAGACCTATCTAAAAAGAGGATGTTGGCTATGTTTCTTTTATCAGCAGCTTTTATGTAGATGCCGGTCTGCCTGTGGTGCAGCTCTTATTTGCCATCTTTCCTGCAGCTACCATTTCAGTACGATAGGTAGGAATGTGATAGGAAAACAAAAACCAGCAACTTATAACCAGGAACAAGCTTCTTGGGCTGCCTTTAACAGCACATGGATCTTTCTTTACAGGCTCCTTAGTGGATAAGAAAGGAAAAATCCTCATCCCTGGCATTTATGAGGCAGTGGCACATCTCACGGATGAGGAACAGCAGCTTTACGACAAAATTGACTTTGACTTAAGCGAGTATGCAAAAGATGTTGGAGCCACACGGCTGCTGCATGACACAAAGGTGGGGTGGAACTTCTTATCAGCTTCGTAAGCAAGAAAAGCAACTTTTGTGATGTATCACTCCTATATAGTATAACACTTTGTAATTAAGAGTACTCTGGTTAGTATTCTTAAGGTATCAGGGTGCCTAGAACTAGGCTTATCCAACCTAGTAGCCTTCAAACGTGTTGGAATGCATCTTCCATGCATTATCAGCCAATTCTGGCAAATTCTGGGGTTGGGCATCCAGAAGGCATCTGGTTAGAGAAAGTTATCCTGTTCTGTGGATAGTGGATCTGGCCAGAAGATGGTGTCCCCTCCCAACCCCCAGATTTGTGGAAATGGCTACTGTATTGAGCCCTGCATTGTTTTGTAAATTCATTTTGATGATTAATCAGCATGCTTGTCACTTGGGATAAGGTCACTTTCAACTCTGGGGTATACTTCTGAAGACACATGCATGAGATTGCATAATTAATCTCAGATTTCCTCTTTTATATGCACAGACTTTTATCATCCATATTTTAAACATTTGATGGGGGGTGCATTTGAAACCCCTTCCTAAATAATTTTTAGTAAGGATGCTTTTTCTTTCTGATCTGAAGCCAAAAATGATGCTTTGGAGTAGGTGTGGGCACTCACATTACACTCTCAGTGCCTCCTTAAAGAGGAGAAATGCATAATTTCCTAAACTCTGAGTAATTGCCCAGTCTCAGGAAAATGCATGTTTGAGCTAAAGAGGTACCGGGAAGATGTGACAACATGGGCATTCTGTTGACCCCTTAATTCCATCATGTTATTTCCTAGAATTGCACAGCTACCCTGAGAACCAGGAAACGATGTGGCTTCTTGAAGGATCCAGTGACAGATGTGGCATATGCATTTTAATTAGTGAAGTATAACTAAGAGTACATCAGTGATAAATTTAGTAGGACACTATGTACACTGTAGTGATTAAAATAAACATAAGAATAGGATGAAAAAAAGAAAAAAATAAGATCCATGTGATATCAATATAAAATCAGTTCAACTTATTACTAAATCTAGACCATAAAAAAATCTAGACCATAAAAAATATATTGCCCCATATATAATATATTGATTTTTAGAACATAAGGATCTTTCAGTGAGATTGGAATAGTTTTGCAGTGTTAATTGTCATTTCAACTTAGTCCCAGTGGACAATTATTGGCACATTGATCCAAAGAACAGAAGGTAAAAACATTATTAAAACTGTTCTCTTACTGGATTAATGTTAGGCCAGCAGAAGAGCGTACAAATATCCCAGTTCTGTGATTATCCAAGATAGCTGCATGTTCATGATTTATAGTTTTGCCTGAATCATTCTGCTGTAAATGGAAAATTCATGCCTATTTCATCTCTTTAATTTTTTTTTTTTTTAATAGAAAGGGGTTTTGATGCATAGATGGCGATACCCATCCTTATCCCTTCATGGAATAGAAGGGGCTTTCTCTGGATCTGGTGCTAAAACTGTGATCCCACGAAAAGTGACTGGCAAATTTTCAATCCGACTGGTGCCAGACATGACTCCAGAAGTTGTGACTAAGCAGGTATGTGGCAAGGAAAGGAGAGAAGGAAGCTAGAGATCCCTTCATCGAGGGGGGCAGGCTGTGTTTTGTTTCTTTTCCAAATTCAGTTGCAGCTTTGCAAAAACCTCTTAACGAATGCTGTGTAATACCCATGGTTTTTGTAATGCTATCTCATGCACCAAACAGAAGCTTACTTGTGAGAGAAGTAGGAAGTGGAATTGAAAAAGGTCCCATCTTGGCTTGTAATACGAAAGCCCCAAGTTGCACATTCCTGCCACCGTAAGCAATTTTTTATTTTTAAATCTTTTTTCACAATAACACTGCTGGCCTGCAAACTGTTGTGACTCAGCACTTCGTTTCAGTGCTGTTTGCCATTTACTATATTGTTCCCTGACATATGCAGTAATGCAGGGCAAGTAAAATAAAAGTATGAGCATAATTCAGACTTTGCCTATATTCAAAATAAGGTTGAAGTACATGATTGGGGAAACAGCTCAGTTGTTCCAGTGTAAGGGATTGATTTGTACTATAGTCTTAAACAGAATTTCTGCATAAAGAATTGACCAGTAATTTTATTCTCGCTGTTTTAAGTAGCCAGTTTTTAATCATTATTAAAGGTTGAAGATTACTTGTCCAAAACGTTTGCTGAGTTGCACAGCCCCAACAAATTCAAAGTAAAGCTGGGCCATGGTGGAAAACCTTGGGTGTCAGATTTCAATCATCCCCACTACATGGCTGGCAGAAGAGCCATGAAGACAGGTCAGTACATCTTTCATTGCCTCTTTCGATATCTTAATCAAAGTATGATGAAAAAGGTATCTCTTGTATTTGATCTTTATCAAGATCAAAATCTAGATACTTTATAGTAGCTACATACAGGGGCAAAAATTATCGTCAGTTTTCATGAAAATCAACCTGGAGGATGGTCCTTGAAAAAGATGACAGATGGGTATTGTCATTGCAATGCCAACATGCTGAAAGATTATAAAGTGTTAGCAAGTACATGAGAGAAAATACTTTCCCCAACCTAGATAAGAGGATCTACAAATTCTGTCAGTCCCGGGAGCACAACCGCACTGACTCTGGATTATGAGAGTGAAAGGCCAGCACATCCAGAAGCTACCAAATTTAGTAGGGTTGGTAAAGAAAATGAGGATTGTTCTTAATCTTCTCCATCTTTCTTTTTCCTAGTATTTGGTGTGGAGCCAGACCTGACCAGAGAAGGAGGGAGCATTCCTGTCACGCTGACCTTTCAAGAAGCAACAGGCAAGAATGTGATGCTGCTTCCTGTTGGGTCTGCTGATGATGGAGCCCATTCTCAGAATGAGAAACTCAACAGGTAAAGCATATTTATCATTTGTCATTATGCAAAGTTGGAGCTCTAGCAGCAGCCAGTGCTATGGGCCAGATTTAGTTCATAGGCTGGAGATTTTCCATTTGTATTCTAAATTTTGCTGGGATTGCTTAAGGTTTTTTTGTTTTTGTTTCTTTTTTGGCCCACTTTAATACTAGATGTTTCCTTCCCAGGTACAACTATATTCAGGGAGTGAAGCTTCTGGGTGCTTATCTCTATGAAGTTGCCAAGTTGAAGAACTGAATCTGAATCATTTTTGCAAATTGTGCTTTGGGATCTGAAAATTCATCAAAGTACATTACTGCAATCTTGAAAAGTGCACTATTTTGTTCCTTCTTCTCCTAGTCTAACTGATGTTGATATGCCTGGCAGAATATTTTGGAACTCAGTGTAGAGCATTTTATACAAACGTGATAGTTGCTGCTGATTTTTTTTTTCTTTTTTCAAAAATCATGTGCTCTATTCCAGGCATTATTACAATACAGCAACTCTCTAATTTACTTGCCTTCCCTTCCAAACAAAGAAGAATCTGTGGAAAACTTTTAATGATCCTGTAATCTAAGCTAAGAAAGCAGCAGCAAGTGGTCAGTAATGTCTCACGTTGACTTGCCCCCAAAACAGGATCTGAGCCCAATTCTTTGATCTTAGAGGAGGAAAATAACAGCTGTCTTTCTTAAACTTGCAAAAACAACAAAGCCATTCTAGAAGGATCCAAAAGGATTGGAAATATAGAGATGGGTGGTAAAAGAGTAAAAAGGACCCCCTTTCTTCTGGTTGGACTCGTGGCTGCTTATTTGCAGGTTTTTCCAGATACTTATGTTTGTTAGCAATCTGTGCAGACATCTCATGATAATAACAAATTGGTATTTTTCTACAGCATTCTTTGTACTCCATGTGGAAAAGCTGCTAAATAAATTCAACTTTGCTTTATCAATTCTGTGATCATTTATTGCTAGAGGTTGAAAGTTTGAAGTGATCAGTGGCTTGCAACTCGGGGAGAGCAGGAGGGGAAAGTCTCAAGTTCTATAAAAAATCAAGACTCCAAAATGTCATGACGTTGGTTTATTGTGGCAAGCACAGACTACAGAATGCCTCAGTTATAGGCTGCCCTCTCCTTTTTGACATGGTTAGTTAGGAGGTGATGTCATTTCCTTTCCACTCCTCCTACTAATAATTGCAGTCAATTGCAGTTGTCTCATAAGCCATGATTTGAAATTAAGTTGTCTTAAATCCTATGATGGAAAATCATTGGAACCACCTTATACAGGCAGCATTCACATATGTGCTAAGCCATGATTGATCGAGCCATAGTATTCTGGCTAGCACAAAACCATAAAACTCTAGTTTTATGTAGTTTCAAAACTGCAGTGACTTTGCCCATCATGCTAAGCAAAAACCAAAGAAAACATAATTTGGATTAGTGCAATTTGTAAGCCAGCCCTAATCATCTACTTTGAAAATCTGAAATAATAAGATATGATGTAACAAAGCATAAAGGATACATCAAGAATAAAAATAGAAATTAACAAATTTTGAAAAGCTAGAAAATCTAAAAGATATCTAAATTAAAAACTAAAAGTAGATGTAAAAAGTGACAATATAAAAGTATAAGTAGGAGCATTAGATGGGTGTAGGGGAGCATAAAAGGTTACTATGTGGAAAGCTATATCAAGTTACAGAGGAGTCTAATATAGTGAATTAGATGCTCATTAAATCTACAGTATGTTGTAGCAGGGTTGGTATCTGAAAGCAACAGGGTGGTCTAAAATTGTCCTGTGTGCCCCAGGTATTTGTGCAGTGATGGTGAGATGAGGCTAGTACGAATGTCTCTGGTAGTACAGGCACTGGAGAAGCACATGCTGTGTTGTTTCTGTGTGTCTAGAGTTGCAGGGACATTGTCTCCCCAGGTAAGGAATCTTCCTGTATCAGCCTTCAAGCACAACTGAGGGGCCAGTGTCTATTTGGTTGTTTCGTAAGTTTCCGTAATAGTTGTAAGCAGGCCAAAGAAAACACTTGAATGCTAGGTTTCTGTTTTTTCTGGTTTCTATCCATATACCACTATAGCTACATAGAACAAACAATAAGGGAATTTCAAAGTGGTGACCAGATGGACAAAGGGTCATTATTTGTTTGGAGGCTTGAATCACACAGTATTTGGAATTATGAACCTTTGTTCTTAGTCCAGCTGTCCATCATATTAAAAGCACAAAGATACAGTGGGGGGTATTGCTTTTATAAAAAGCTACAAAGTGTACAGGAGGGAGCTTGAACTGGCACTGCTTTCTGTTGCTGGATGGGAAAAGAAGAAACCTTATTTCTTTGCTGTCAGAACTGTTGACATGGTAAGCCTTCAAACTGCATACTTTGAGTTTGTCTATTGATTGTAATCAGACTGCACAATGTAGAGATGTACACCTTCCGATGATTTCAGAGGGGTTAGCTGCTTTGGTCAGAAGGCATTTGGTAGCACCTTTTCAGACTAATAGACTTTATACCATGAACTAT